AATTAAAAATTCACCTCTCCCCTCCTAATTGAGATTAAGGGATGAAAAAACAGCAGAGGGGGGTGGGAAGGGAACAAATCGTAAAGACCCGAAAGGGTATACGAGAAGAAAAAAATTGGAAATTTAACAATAAAAACTGCCATCGAACTCATGGGCCAGTAAGAAAAATCATTGTTTCGCGGCGCACGGTGAGTTTTCACCATTCGCCCACGAAATTCACTTCTCCTCTCCTAATTGAGATTAAGGGATGAAAAAAAGCCAGTTCGACTGAGAATTAAATTGCTCATCAACTGCCCTTTTTTAATCTCAATTAGGAGGGCAGAAACGAATTTTTAATTCGCGGGCGAATAGTGAAAAGTCAGTGTCCGCCGCGAAAAAATTATTTTTGTTACTGGCCCATGACTTTCATGGTAGTTTTTATTTTTTTGTTACAGAGATTAAGGGATGAAAGAGGGTTAATTGATGGAGAATTTAATTCTCCGTCGAACTGTCCTTTTTTCATCCCTTAATCTCAATTAGGAAGGGAGAGGTGAATTTTTAATTACTGGGAGTCACTGCGCCGCGAAACTATAATTTTTCTCACTGGCCCATGACTTTCATGGCAGTTTATATTTTTTTGTTACAGAGATGAAGGGATGAAAGAGGGTTAGTTAATGGAGAATTTAATTCTCTATCGAGCTGCCCTCTTTTCATCCCTTAATTTCAATTAAGAAGGGAGAGATGAATTTTTAATTACCGGGAGTCACTGTGCGCCGCAAAACAATTATTTTTCTTACTGGCCCCTGACTTTCATGGCGATTTTCATTTTGTTGTTACAAAGATTAAGGGATGAAAGAGGGTTAGTTAATGCAGAATGTAATTCTCCGTCGAACTGCCCTTTTTTCATCCCTTAATCTCAATTAGGAGGGGAGAAGTGAATTTTTAATTACCGGGAGTCACTGTGCGTCGTAAAACAATTATTTTTCTTACTGCGCTGTTATTTCCATGACAGTTTCTTACATTTTTCACAGAGATTAAGGGATGAAAGAGGGTCAGTTGGTGGGGAATTTAATTCTCCATCGAACTACTCTTTTTTCATCCCTTAATCTCAATTAGGAGGGGAGAAGTGAATTTTTAATTCGCGAGCGAATGGTGAAAAGTCACTGTGCGCCGACAAGAAAATTATTTTTTCGTGAGAAGACCCGGTAAACCGCGATTCTAACCTCGCTTCGCTCGGTTTGATCGCGGTTTACGGGCCTTCTGACGAAAAATTACATTCATCACA